GCTGCAGTGGGTGCTGTGGGGCTGACGCGCGGCGCGGCGCAGGATGACGCGCGCGTGCCACCGCAAGTGCGTGCCGCCGCTGTACAAGGAGGCGGAGCTGTCCAAGGGCGAGAGCGTGTGCCTGGACCGCTGCGTGGCCAAGTACCTGGAGGTGCACGAGCGCCTGGGCAAGCGGCTCACGGAGCTGTCGCTGCGCGACGAGGAGCTGCTGCGGCGCGCGCAGCAGGGCGCCGGCACCGCCTGAGCCCCCCGGCGCAATAAACCGGCCCCGTCCGCCTCGTGATGCCGCCCCGGGACACTCCGGATCGGCGGGGGGAAACACGGGATGGGCGGCGGGAATCGGCCCCCTCGCGGGGACGGGGAGGCGGGCACTGGTGGAGACGCCCCCCGCCAGCCCGGGGTGTGCGTGGGGTGACGCGGGAACAGGCGGAGAGACACGGGGGGCTGTGGCCCCTGGGCAGAGCCGTGGGGATGGGGGGGATGTGGAGGGAGAGGTGCTCCTGGTGGGGACACCGGGAGAGCACACAGTCACACCGGGGACACTCGCGGGGACACCCCGGGGACACAAACGGAGCCAGGGACAGCCGGAGAGAGCCCCGAGACACCCCAGGGACACACACCCCCGCACCCAGGGACACCCACACGGGGACAGGCGGGAAGAGAGACCCCAGGGACACAAACACACCTGGGGACAGCCGGAGAGACAACCCCGAGACACCCCAGGGAGCCGCACACCCGCACCGAGGGACAGCCGCACACAGCCAAGGACAACCGGAGGGAGGGACAGACACGGAGACAGAGTCCTGGGACAGACGCACAGAGGGACAGGCGCACAGGGACAGGCGCACAGCCCCATCCCAGCGGCAGGGCTACACCTGCAGCCACCCGGAGAGGGCAGGAGCCCCCCACCACCACCCGCAGCCGGGGAACAGCCGCGGCGGCAGTGCCCGCGGCACGTACAGGCGGCAGGGCGCGCGTGCGGCTGTGCGCACAGGCAGCAGCCCGCGCGGGGGTGCAGGGCAGCGGGTCGGGGGGTGCAGGGCAGCGTTTCGGAATGCGCGCGCGTGGCAGCTCCCATTGCCCCCCCGGCAGCCGCCCCGGAGGCGCCGCGGCCGGGGAGCATCAATATTGCAGGAGCGGCGAGACGTGACCTGGAAAAGGCTCCGGCGGCGCCGGCGCAGCCCGGCCGCCCGCCCCGCCGCCCGCCCGCCGCCCCGCTCCTACCTCGTACACCGTGAACTGGCTCTGCGCCCGCGACAGCTCCCGGTAGCTCGTGGCGAACTCGCCGATGAAGTCGTGGCTGGGGGGCGAGCGCGGCGTGGGACGGGGCGGCCCCGCGCGGCCCCCTGCCCGCTGCCGCCCGGCCTCACCTGCCGTCCCGGTCCCAGTCGTACACGTCTATCTTCACCGTCCTGAAAGGCAGAGGCGCCGCTGGGACAGGGACACAGCGGAGCCTGCCCTGGCATCCCCGGGTGGGCTCCCGGCAAGGAGGGAATGGGGAAATTTGGGTCACGGCCGGGCCCGTGGTGCAGCGGGGAGGATGTTTTGTGTAATTCAGACACAAAATATCCTGGGAGTGTTCTGGGGAAAAATCCTGAGAAAATTTCCTGGGAAAAAGGCAGCAGGCAGCCCCGTCCACCCCCACAGCTGCCCCCATGCACCTTCCCTATGTCTTTCCCCTTGCACTGCCCCTGGCCCCTCAGGGGACCCCTTGCACCATCCCCACGCCTCTCCACTCACAGCATCCTCATCCCTGCGGCCACCCCCTTGTGCCACCCTTGTACCCACAGCCATTGCCTTGTGCCATCCCCGTGGTGACCGCCTCGCGCCGTCCCCGTGCCCCTCGCGCCGTCCCCGTGCCCCTCGCACCGTCCCCGTGGCACCTGTCGTAGTCGCCGTTGCAGAGGGCGCGCACGGGGATGGTGAAGGGCTGCCACACGGGGTTGAGCGTGTTCTTCACCACCTCCGTCTTGTGGCAGATGGTGAAGCTGCGGGGACGGGACGGGGCGTCAGGGCCGGCGCGCGGCACCGTGCCCGGCCCCGTGGCAGCCGGGCCCGCGCTCACGTGCCGTCCTCGTTGCTGCGGTAGAAGACGAGGAAGGGGTCCGATTTGCCAAAGAAGTCCTTCTTGTCCAGCTTGTTGGCGCACAGCTGCATCGTGACGATGTCCTGGGGACGGCGGCTGTCACCGCCAGCCACATCCTCTCCCCATGCCGGGGCTGCCACCATCGCCACGGGGTGCTCGGGCGCAGGCGTCCCCGTGGTGACACGAGTGTCCCCATTGCATCCCCGCGGGTGCCACCCCGGTGCTCACCCGGCAGTTGCTGAGCTCCTCGGCCAGCAGCAGGATGGTGCCGCAGCGCTTCCCCGGGACGCCCCTGGCACGGCAGGCAGCGCCTCAGCACGGGCACGGGGGTGTCCCCAGAGCCGGGGTGTCCCCAGTTGGGGGTGTCCCCAGCCGGGGGTGTCCCCAGAGCCGGGGTGTCCCCAGCCGGCCGCCCGGCGGGGACCAGGTCACTCACGTGAGGGCTCGTTCCAGGCGGCCCCGCTGGGAGCCGATCACCTCGCCCAGCGCCACAAACGCCTGTCCCAGGAAGTCCTGCGCCCCGGCACGCGCCGTGAGGGATGGGCACCCTCCCCGCACCCATGTGACACCCATGGCCACCTCTGGGCCACCCTGTGCTCCCAGAGCCACCCCACGTGCCCCCAAACCCCCCCACAACCCAGCAACCACCTCGCAGTCCAGGACCTGTTTGGCCACCCCCTCTGCCCTGGATCCAGTGGCACCCCGCAAGGAGCACCCCACACTCCTCAACCCATCCTGCCGCCCAGGGCCATACCATGGACCATGGATCCATGGACCATGGGTCACCCTGGGCCCATCTTGCACCCCTAGAGCTGCTCCCTGTGTCCTGGACCTGTTCTCCCCCTCAGGACCACCCAGGACCCTCCTGTACCCCCATGGCCACCCTGTCCCCCCTAGACCCACCCCATATTCCCCAAGCCACCACATGACTGCCCCACATGCCCTGGATTCATCCCAGAGACCCAGGGCCATTCAGCACCCTCCCCACCGAAGACACCCCTATGCCCTGGGTGTCCCCAGGGCCACCCGGTGTCCCCAGAGCCACCTCACATGTCCCTGACCACCCTGCGCTCCCCAGAGCGGCGCAGGGGCCGGAGCGCGGCTGGCACCCACCTTCTGCCGGTCCCGGAGCAGCACGGGGAAGCCGAGAGCGGGTCAGAGCCCCCCAGGGTGCCGGGGCCGCACCGGGGCACCCGGCCCACCCGCCGACTCCCCCGGCAGCGCGGCCGGAGCCCCGGAGCGGGACGGCAGCAGCGCGGGCCGCGCTCACCTGCTTGTAGATGCTGCAGCTCTTGGAGTCCACGTTGTAGCTGGTGGAGGGGGAGGACAGCGTGAGAGCAGCAGGAGAGCGCGGGGTGCAGCGGGAAACTCAGCGTGGACCCCTCCAAGATCCTACTCTCCCAACCCAGTCCTGTTGTGACCCTGCTGTCAGGCCCTGCTCCTCCAGCCCAGATCCACGAGAGATCCCCAAAAAGCTTCCCGGGAGCACGGCAGGCACCGGAGCCTGGATTGCCCTTATCCCTGAAGGCTTTTCTCCATGGCTTCTTATCCACCCTGGTGCTCATGGACTCTGCGCACTGTCCCAGTCTCTCCTGCTGGCACCGAGTGGGCGCCAGCTCTGCCCTGCACAGCAGCGGTTGTGCCCAAAAGGTGCCCGGGGAGGCTGCAGGGACCAGGCGCCGCTACTCACACATCAAAGCGCAGGTTCTGCTTCTCCTCGAAGTAGTAATCGAGCACGAACTTGCGCACGAAGTCGGGGTTCAAGGTGTTGTCGATCACCTCGGTGCGCCCAAACTGCGGGGAGCAGCGTGAGGGCGGCCCCGGTCCTTGAAACCCACCCGTCCGCAGGACCCTCCTTCCCCGGGACTAATCCCGGCATGAGGATTAGCACCGGCAGCGGGGGGGGATCATTAGTGGGGAAGTAGGTGGCCATATGGACGAGTTTAAGTGAGCCGAGGATTAGCCCCAGGCCACCGAGGGGGACAGTCCCAGCCTCCAGGACGGTCCCTGGCCCCCCATGGGTCCGAGCTGCCCGGCTGGGGGGCTGCAGGGCAGGGGGCCGCGCTCACCTCCTTCCACTCGCTGCTGCCGGCGCCCTGCACGAACAGGACGACCACTGCGGAGAGAGGAGCCGCGCGGTGCCGGCTGCCCACCGCGGCTCCCGGCCGGCCACCCGCATCCCCGCCGCCTACCCGGGTCCGACTTGGAGAAGGTGTCCATGTCCAGCAGGTTCCTGGGGACACCGAGCCAGCCCTGAGCCTCCCGCTAACCCCCTCTTGCCAGTGAAGTGTCCAGCCCTCGGGCACCCTCTGCTCTGCTCGGCACCGAGGGGACGGCCTGCTGCCGGGCAGCCCGGGGGGACACGATCCCGGTGCCAGCGCCGCTCATCGGGCGCCCGCGGGCTGGGCCGGGCGCAGGCGGCCTGGGCCGGAGCGCGGGAGCGGCGCCTCCCGCTCTGACGGTGATTAAACATGACAGAGAACCCATTTAGAGGACGGGATCTCCGCCGGCGCAGTCGGTAATGGCCGAGCGCCCGTCGCCCCCCGCCAGCGGCAGCGCCGCTAATGGGGAGACTGGGAGAGGAGCTGAGAAGAAAGCGGACGCTGAGCGGGATGGGCTGCCAGAGCCAGAGCGCTCGGGTGGCGGCGGGACACGGGAAGGCGCCGGCGGCTGCGGGTGGCTCCTGCGCTGGGACCTGCCTGAGCCCCGGGGCCGCCACGGAGCCTGGGATAGGGGAGCACCGAGGCTGGCGGGACTGGGCTCTGCTCTGCCCGGCACTCCTGTCCTGAGCACGCAGGGACAGTCCCCATGGGCTCTGTTGGTGGCCCGGGACAGGGCTCACCGCGGCGTTGCTGAGAGCCAGCCATTGGTCCCCCTACCTGGGGTGTCCAGGTCCCCTTGGACACCCCTACCTGGAGCAACGGGACAGGAGCCCATACGGCTCCCACGAGTGGAAGGGCTGCACAGAGGGGGCACCCAGAGCAGGGTGCCGAGCTGGGCAAGGGCCGCCTGGCACAGCTGGCTCCTCCCCAGGGAGCTGCGGTCCAGCCCCGGCCGCGGTGCCGGAGTTTGCAGGTAAGGGCACCTCAGAGCGGCTCAGCTGGGTGCAGGGGCGCCCCGGGGATGCCGAGCGGAGCAAAGTGCAGGGTGCTGCGGAGGCGACAGGGCCTCCCCCGTGTCCCCGGCACGGGTGACAGGACGTGGGGGCCACCGGCGGCAGCGGGGACGGCTTCTCCGCAGGGCTATTTTTAACCGCCGGCAGTGGCTCCGCCGCCGGCCCTGCGGACCCCGGCGGGAGCCGGCGCGGGGAGCAGCGCCC